TGCCAGAGACCAGGGGAAGCCCAGCCTGGAGAAGGCCTGGGAGGCAGCTGCTCCTACCCCACCTATAGACTGGGAGGGGATGGGAGGAGCAGTCACCAGGTGCTCCCAGCCTGCTTCTCACTCCAGAGTCTCCAGTGTGAAAAGCAGGCAGGAGGCTTTTTCTCACTGCTCCCTTGACTCATCTCCGGGGCATGGGAAATCAAGCAGATGGAGTAGCACTGTAGGCTCCCTGCCTGTTTCGCACTTTGGAGTCCCTGGAGTGAAAAGCTGGCAGAGGGGTTGCCCTGCTGCTCCCTCCATACTGCTCTCTGAGACTAGGAGCGGAGCAAAGGAGCAGCTGCTCACTGCTCCCTATCTGCTTCTCAGACTGGGATCCCCAGTCTGCAGGCCTTGTGTCACAGCTCCCTTCCCTTGCTTGACCGGTCCAGACAGCAACCACTGCTCCCAGCTCTTCCTCAAGCCCCAGTCTTGAAGGTGTGGAAAGCAGGAGAGAGGGGGCGGCTGCAGGCTAAATGCCTGTACAGTTCCTCTCCTGGAAAAATGTCTACCAGTTCCATTGGTGGAAATGAGTATCTGTTCGTAACCAAAGACACCTTGATAATGAAACGTGACTGCATGTTTATAATCAAATGTGTTTTGTAACTGTTTCTTTTTTCCTTTGGCCTCAGAATAGGGCACGACAATCCATTACAGTGTTGTTCATAGTCAAATCCACTCTAGGGCTAGGTACAGACATTCAAAAAGCCCAAGGTGGAATTGATCTTAGTTGCACGGTTTTCTATAAGCGACGTAGTTTAGATCGGTAGCAAACTGTACAGGCATTTGCCCTTCGGTGGGAGGGTGAATCTTAGGCTGACTTCCGCCATTTTTCAACCGGTCTATGTGAGCCGAACTTCTGTTCTGTTACCTGTATAGACTGGTTTCCAAACAGTTATACTGGTAAAAGTGTAATGTCTGTACCTGACTTTAGGATCTTGGCATTACTGAGTTGGGTTTCATACATCATTAATATTCATCTACTTACAAACTGCTGTTTCCAATGGGATTTCAGAGAAAGCTATTAAGAGATATCAGTCTTCATTTTATAAAAGTGTGTTCTTGCATTTGGAGGCCAATTGACAGCCTGTCTTGAGAACCCAGAACTTGCTGAGACCTGCACCAAGCTATGAGTTTGAAAGCCCTCGGCACCTGCACCACTCTATGAGTTTGAAAGCCCTCTGCACCTGTTCACGACCCAGTTCACTGGAGGTTTGAAGTCTGGCTTAGCTAAGCACCCTCCAGTGCCGTCAGGCATTTGTGGTGTTGGTTTTAGCAGGAGAAAGGCAGAATCCTACACTAACATCTCAGTAGATGGGCGGTTATGGAAAGAAATGTTGTTTGCCAACTTTAAAACTGAACAAAAAGATTGACAGAAGCCTAGGATACAATGGATGCATCTCATTCTACAGAACAGTTTTGAGATGAAATAGAGGGGCAAGTAGAAAGGAAGGTGTATTGAAGAAGTTAGAAGAAGAATAAGCACAAAGAAATATGAGTGGGGAGCTGAAGAGGAGCTAGAGAAAGAGGGTGGAAATGGAGGAGGGGAGTAAGGCTGGATCCATTTGTTACACAGAATTAAAAACAGCAATAATTACACATTGGCTTCTAGCAGCTGCAAAAACACTTGGGGTTAGTTTGTCTGTTTTTTAATTTAGTGCTATTGCTGAGCCTCTTACCAACTTAATAGAAAATGTCAGCCTTGTAATTCAGGTATATCATATTTCCGCAGTTTCTGATACATATAGGATACTGATTAAAAACTATCATTAGAATCATAGACAATTAGGGTTGGAAAGGACCTCAGGAGGTCATGTAGTCCAACCCCCTGCTCAAAGCAGGACCATCCCCAACTAAACCATCCCAGCCAAAGCATTGTCTACCCTGGTCTTAAAAACTTCTAAGGATGGAAATTCCACAACCTCTCTACCTTTCTAGTGAGAACGTTTTCCCTAATATCTAACCTAAACTTCCCTTGCTGCAACTTGAGCCCATTACTCCTTCTTCTGTCATCTGCCACCACTGAGAACAGTCCAGCTCCGTCCTCTTTGCAACCCCTTTGCAGGGAGTCGAAGGCTGCTACTAAATCCTCCGTCAGCCTTCTCTTCTCCAGACTAAATAAGCCCAGTTCCTCAGCCTCTCATAAATCATGTGCCCCAACCCCCTAATCATTTTCATTGCCCTCCGCTGGACTCTCTCTAGTTTGTCCACATCCTTTCTGTAGTGGGGGCCCCAAAACTGGACACAGTACTCCAGATGTGGCTTCACCCATGTTTAATAGAGGGGAATAATCACTTCCCTTGACCTACTGGCAACACGCCTACACCAATGCAGCCCAGTATGCCATTAGTCTTCTTGGCAACAAAGGCACATTGCTGGCTCATATTTAGCTTATTATCCACTGTAACTCCCAGGTCCTTTTCTGCAGAGCTGCTGCTTAGCCAGTTGGTCCCCAGCCTAGACTGATGCATTAGAAACTTCTCTTTTAATGGTAGCATGTTGAATGAGCGTATGGTCTGTCTTACTGCACAAGGGCCGAAGAGACATATCGTAGATGATCACACCTTAAAACGAAATCCCCATTTATGCTATAAAATCAATCATGGTTTGGCACTTGATTATGATATTCCAGTAGTGGTAAAATAAGAACTACCTTGCCTTTAGTTATTGCATTTATGGGCACAAATGTAACTGATAGGGGTCATATAGTGTTATAATTGTGCTATAACTGTATAGATGACTTTGTTATTTAGCTTGGATCTACATTTGCTTTCTCTACTGCTTCTGAGGATGTTGTCTAAGATTTTTACTCATGAATTTGTAGTCTCTGGTCATTGTCTTTTTCTGCCACAGCTTAGAATGACTGTGTCATGCTCCGGTAGCTGACCATCACCCGTCATCAATCCAACAGCGTCTTATTCTGCTTAATACATTTCTTAATAAATGCTTAATTTACATAATTGACATGGGAGTCATATGTAAGCATACAGAGCCATAAATTGTATTTGAATGCAGCTATTAATGCTGTGAATTAGGTTATGTTCAGAAAAGCAGATCGCAGGCTGGAATGGATATAAATGTGAAGCTATCTGAATGGGTGCAAATTAGTGATCATGAAGCAGAAAGAGAAAGCATTCTCAAATGTTTCTGAACCCAGAGTGATGGAAATATTCATATTAGCTAATGCTGCCTTTTGCTACAACAAGAGTGTAAGGTTGAAAACTTGGTAAGAATGCTTTTTGATTGGGATTGTATTTACTGCAAAATAAAATCGACTAGACATACTGTTTACACATGTGAAATACTTATAGGAAAGCCTACTGATATGGTTGTGCATTGTTGTGTATCCAGATGTTCTTCAGGGCTTAGTGTAGCAAACGTTCTTTCGATGCTTTTAACTGTCAATACTAACATCTGCCTCGGCATTTCCTTAAGGCATAGTTTTAACATTACTTACAGTTTCTGACTCTTCATCCATGTGCCATTAGTATTTTCTAATAAAATATCATTCAGAAGCAGCAAGATTTAGCCCTCTGTTTAATCCCTTTTGGGAATATGGAGGAGAAGCCTAATTGATGGAGGAAGACAAATGACAAGTTGTTGAATTATGGTACAGTCACGTGTTGGGACTCTACATTTTAGGGGGTTTATACTTGGTGCACAAAAAATTGCTTGGGGTTCATACTTTTCATAAAAGGGAATTATTTTTGTATATTTAACCAGATTTAAAGATGCCAGCTTACATTTTTAATCCCTGCAGTTTAAATATAGCTTTAATGTTTTAACAGAAATTTTGCGGTGTTAATTTGTAATGTAGACTGTGATGCCTGCGAATACTGTGGCTGAAGGAGAATACAAATGAGAGATTTTGTTTGCAAGTGTTCCTTATTTCATGCATTCATGTTTTTTTCCCACTGAAACTATTGTAAGGACTTAATCACATATATTTATGGAGAAGGGAGAAAACTAATTGCTTTGATATGTGCATAAACATTAGTTGAGTCAGCAGACATTCATTAATACTACAACCGATTGCTCTGTGTACTGGACAAGTCCCTATCAAAAAAAAGGTTCTGAACTTTTGTGTGTTAGAAGGCAGTTGCACAAACCAAAATTACTTTTTCTTTTGCTACTGCAGAAGGCATTTCTAAACCCCTGCCCCCAAAGCAACTTTTAAAAAAGCAGCTAAAACTGCATGGTTTTCAAATGTGTGTGTCTATGTTAGATTATTTATTTAAATTGTAGGTTATTTGGAGCAAGGACTATTAGCATGAATAGCAAAGTGGCCCTCTCTGCACCCAACTATCTCACTCAAAAGCAATTCCTTTTTAATAAGAATTTCACTGCTTCCTTCTCTAGCCTCTCTGAATGACTCTGAGTGATTTTCTGTTAGCATTTATGTTGTTGCTATGTATCAAGAAACAAAAAGAATACCACCAGAAAGCAGGATTTACCATGAATTTGGAACAGCAAAATTGTATGAGCTGACAATATAATCTGTTTCTTTTCCACTAAGTCAAATAGTTGCAATAAAACGCAGACTTGACAGTATTTTACTGGTAGACAAGCTGGTCTACAGAGAAGCAGTATCCTATTATTCTTAGTGTTGGTTACAAGATTCAAAATTCTCATGCGAATAGGGATTAAAACACCCCACCCAGTTCAGAAGTATTCAGATCCTTGGGGTTTGATTCAAGTTCATCTCTTATTTCTGTAAACCTAATCGGCTTGCAAATTTAATGCAGAAGATTTCCTCCACTAACAATCCCACTGTGTATTCTTTTGAGGAAAATGGGGCCAAAGGATTTTATTGGACTAATAAATTTCTCCTAATTTATTCAAATGTTCACATACTCAGGTACTGAGGTCAGAGCATAAATCTAACCTTTGTCTTACCCAAGAAGATGAATTTATTTTTCCTTGACAACCATGCCAATTTCAAATGTTCACTTATGTCTTTTCAGGTCAGGATCGCAGCGAAGCCACTTTAATAAAGAGGTTTAAAGGTGACGGTGTCCGATACAAAGCAAAACTGATTGGGATAGATGAGGTTTCTGCAGCACGAGGAGACAAGTTATGTCAAGATTCCATGATGAAACTCAAGGTGCAGTGTAACTTGTAATATTTAATATGGCAGAATCAGAGAGAGAATTTCAATTTGAATTTTACTCCTCTTTTCATGACACTGGGACATCAAATTCAATTCTGTGCTATCCCTGAAATTTTCAGGATATATATATATATATAAAGTTTGGTCAAGTCTGTATAAATTCCCAGCTTCAGTTTTATGTCAGCATAACGTCAGTGATTTCAGTAGTTAATCTTGATGAACAACACCATTGTGTACAGCAGGACTTTGTTTAGAAAGCCAACATTGAATATCATGACATTGAATAGTTTTGTTACTTGAAAATGGTTGGAGAAAAAAATGATCTGATGCATGATTGTGAGAGTAATATTTAGTCACATTTTTTTTTCTTACTAGACATGACTTCTAAACTCTGATCTTTCCTTTCTAGAAGGTTTAATTCTTGTCCCTAGCAACTGGATATGCTAAAGATATAAAGTGAATTAGTTTCATTTGAAATTCCAGACGGCAAACTTGTAAGATGGTTTGGTAGCAATAAATCTCTCTAATAGATACAATGTATAAATATAGCAGTTCAGTGTTTCATATTCTTTATTTAGAGTCCAAGAGAATGCAGGTTTGAAGAATTCAGTTTGCAGGAGACAATGCAGTTTGGCTTGGGTGCAAATTTAAGGTGCAAATTTAAGGTTCAGGTTCAAAATGACAGCTTAATGGTTGCTTGATGGCATGTGTAAAATGAGTTAGTCTTAAGCCTCCCCAAAACCATCATCATGACTGGCGACAGTTGGCACCTGTATACACACTCTGGGTTTTAACTTCTGCTGAGTTCCCAGCCGGTCCTTGCTAAATACTAGAGTGACCAGTACCTTGTGCTGGTAATAGACCTAGGAAGGAACAAGGTCTTGTGTAGCAAAATGAAGAACTGGGTTGTTGAACAGTCATGATTTGGGGGTGCTGCGAGAGAAGGGCATGGTAAATAGCAGAAGAGTCTCAAACGTTTGGGGATGGAGAGGATGAAGCAGCAACAAGGAGAGACCTGAAGTGGACTGGAAGCTGCTCCACTTATGAGGAGCATAGAAGTTAGGTTTTTAAGGAAGTTGCTAGGGTGCATCTCTCTGAGTCATTTCTCACACTCATTGAGCAGCAAGAAGAGGAAATTAGTGGACCCATAAGTGCGATTCTTTTTCCACCTTGGGCACTGTGAGAGGGTTTATGGTGAGTGTTAAGCAGGAGAGATGGGGAGCGAGTATAGGGAAAGCTGGAAATTTGTTTTGGTGGGAAGTTAAGTGTTGTTCAGTTATGGAGCATTTGGCTGTTGAAGATATAATATAGTTCCAACAAAGAACACCCTCAGAGATTTTGAATCCAACAAAGATCTTCTATTTAGCTTCTTTCTTTCAGTCTTCTTCCCCAAACCCTACCAAACATAACTATTCAATAATATGGATTGTAACCAATCAATAATATGGATGTTTTTTTCCTCCAGCCATTTTCAAATAACAAAATTATTCAATGTTATAATATTCAATGTTGGCTTTCTAAACAAAGCCCTACTGTACACAATGGTGTTGTTCATCAAGATTAACTACTGAAATCACTAGAGTTATGCTGATGTAAAACTGGAGTTGGGAATTTACACACCAGATGACAAAGCTAACCTCTTTAACAATTTCTTTGCCTCCATCTTTTTGAGCAGGGACTGGACCCAGGGAAGGCACTGCCAGGCCTATGGTCAGTGAGGACCTAGTCAAGGAGCTTCTGGTGGGACTAGACATGTTCAAATCAGCAGGTCCTGATGATCTCCACCCCCGAGTGCTGAAGGAATTAGCAGAGGTCATTGTGGGATCCCTGGCACGGCTTTACGAGCACTCGTGGTGCTCTGGTGAGGTGCCGGAGGACTGGAAAAGGGCCATTGTGGTCCCCATTTTCAAAAAAGGGAGGAAGGAGAACCCAGGAAACTATAGGCCCGTTAGTCTTCCCTCGGTCCTGGGGAAGCTCTTTGAGAAAATTATCCAGGAGCACATCTGCAAGGGACCAGCAGGGGAGATTATGTTTGGGGGCAATCAACATGGGTTCATTAGAGGCAGGTCCTGTCAGACGAACCTGATGGCCTTCTATGACCAGGTCACAAAATCCTTAGACGCAGGTGTCGCGGTGGACGTAGTCTTTCTGGACTTTAGGAAGGCCTTCGACACTGTCTCTCACCCCATTCTCATTTAGAAATTAGGCGACTATGGCGGCAATGCTTACACAGTCAGATGGATCACAAATTGGCTGGAGGGCCACACCCAGAGTGGTGTTGGATGGGTCTTTTTTGACCTGGAGGGATGTGGGCAGTGGGGGCCCCCAGGGCTCGGTCCTCGGGCCTGCACTGTTCAACATCTTCATCAGTGACTTGGACAAGGGGGTGAAAAGCACCTTGTTCAAATTCGCAGATGACACTAAGATGTGGGGAGAAGTGGGCATGCTGGAGGAGAGGGACAGGCTGCAACTAGATCTAGACAGGTTACAGGGGTGGGCAGATGAGAACAGGATGGGATTCAATACTGACAAGTGCAAG